CACCAACCCTCAAATATACCTCTCGAACTTCTTTCCTTCAGTAGGGACCATTCTTGGGCATAAAGCCAACCTGGTGGTGTAGGCAATTATGTCGGAGCCCTTCATGGTTAGGCTCCAAAGTTCTTGTTCATGTTTCTGAACCTCAACCCTCAGGTAGTATTCCTTAATCATAAGCTGCTTTAGAGCTTCCTAGCCCATTGCATTGGCTACTATTAGGGTAAGTTACTTGACATGGCTATTCCACCATGTTAGGGCTATGTCTGAGAAGGTGCATGCAAAAATTTTTACTTTGCTTCCTTCTGGATAGGAGCAGATCTCAAAGATCGACTCAGTTTTCTCAAACCATATCATGCAATGACCCCCAGTCCCATTAAAGGTTCTGGGTTTGCAGCTGATGAAGTCCTTATACGAACACTCTCTAGAGCGCACGAGAGCATCACCTTGAGTAGAATGTACAGCTGTTCCACTCCGGCTAGTACCACTAGCGCTGAATTGGGCTAAGGCCGCTGTAACCACCACATCCACTGCAACTTGGAGAGCTGCTGGATCGTATTGTGGAGGAGGTGGTGGTTGAGTTGGAGTTATCGGGGGATTGCGTCTTGTTACTCTATGTGGAGGCATCTCTCAACTAAAAGTTTACAAAGATAAAGATGATAGTAAGCGTTCAATAGTGAGAATAATGAGAGTGATCCATGAACTAACTCGTCATAGTTCAACAAATAGATGAGAGTATACTTGCAATAAAGATCTAACAATAGAAGGAAAAAAGCATTTGGATAAATATTTCCCATGAGATTAGGTGTCTTTCATTATCATTGGCATTAAAGATGTAACAAGTTTGGGAAAAATGACCTTGGAGAAGGTCTTACATTAAGCAAAAATGAGAAAATTTGACAGCACTAAGACCTAACAAACTGAAAGTTCAAGGTCTTAACATGAACATGGAATTAATACTAGAGTGTATACATAGACCTAAATTATATACAAAGAGAGAAAGAGAGAGAGAGAGAGAGAGAGAGAGAGATAGAAAGAAAGAAAGAGAGAAAGATAGAGATAGAGATAGAGAGAGAGAGAGATAGAGAAAGAGAAAGAAAGAGAAGAGTAGGTTCTACTCACGAGGGGAGTTGTTCTGGTTGGTACTTAATTCACCCTGGCTTCAGCCAGTTGCTGTTCAGTTTCCTAAACACGTCTTTGAAGTACCACCTAGTTCTGAGGAAGATCCTTAGTTTTAGATCGACAGACATTCGGCTCCACCTGTAGGGCATCAGTATGAGACCTTTCAAAGTCCTGGTCATCGGTCAGATGATGAAGATGAACTATGTTGACTCTGGAGTTAGTACGAATCTCCATGACTTGGTCGAAGTTTGATCTTCCCTGCTCATCATTGAAAGCAACACGACGAACCATAATAGGAAGGACTCTGTCTACTGACCCTCCCTCATTCAGGTTGTAGTAACTCCGGTATCCATTGTAGTGAGGTGGTTGTTCCTATTTGTGGCTCCACCTTCCCAAGTTCACCACTCACAAAGGTGTCGGGCCTTGAAAAGTTGGACGAGGGTTAGGATTTTCGGCAACTTGGGGTGGATTATAGACCTTGGGTTCTGAGTCTGAGTCTTCTTGGACTTCCTCCTCATTCTCTTCATCATAAATCTCCTTGGGCTCTTCTTTTGCTGGTTCCATCGGGTTCTCATTCTCGGGTTCAGCTTGGATCCATCCTCCGACTCCTTGATCAAGAAAGTACGGGTCTCCAGGTAAATGGAATCCAACCATGTTATCTAAGCGAGAAAAGGGATGTAAGAAACATTTAACAAACATACTGCTTAAGATAATCATAAGATGATCTTTACCAGTTACTTCAATACCGACGTAGTGCATACCAGTTATATGTAACCAAGATAACATAAACCTTCGAATAAATGACCCTAACTCTAAGTCTACAACCAAACAAGGAACATGAAGTAAAGCAAAGATCACAGATTCTATGTCTATGACAGCCTAGTCACATATAACCTTAGCGTATCCACTCAACAACTATTGACCTACTAAGAAAGACCTTCTAGTTCTCAAATAAGTAATTATAGTATCACAAAATACTCCTATAGTATTTTAAGTTTATGTTATGTTCTAAAGTTTTCATCGTAATAGAGTTGGTAAATTTTAGACTTGCTACAACACCACAACCATTCCTAGGCACATGGTAATCACTTCTCGGAACGATATAGTTGATCAGGCTATATCACTTCCAGATCTGATTATATGTCCCCAAGCCTATTTGTGCTGTCCAACAACCACAATACTTTTGTTTTGTTCTAGTATGACACTAATCCTAGTATAAATGCATGTATGTATACTTTAGTTAAATATTTTATTATTTAAAAAGTATAAAGTCTTGGTCAGAGTATTTTAATCCCGATGTGTTTATAGTTGTATATCTTTTATGGGTTGATATACTCAATTCACTATAAACAAAGGTCTAATACCAATATGTCACACCCCCAAACCAGAACGATGGAAACGTTCGAGGGCGGAGGATGTCATGTTCAGTATCTTAACAATGCACAATAGTAAAACAAGCAAAAACATCATCCATTGCATTAATAATATAGTTAATACAAGTGTGTTCTGAATGTATTTTCAAGACACCAAAAATTATATATATCAAAATAAAAGACGAGTCTTGAAAGTGCTCCTGTCCACTGGTGAGCTGAGAATACAAGTTATTTTGAAAGAGTAGATCAACATTTAAGCTGGTGAGTTCATAAGTATTTTAGTGTCAAAAGTTTGCATTAGTTTGATGAAAATGTTTGTAAGTGTTTAATGTAAATTTTTGTAAGCTTCCTAGAAAATCCTATATTTTCTACTAAAATGGAAAGTAGTCTTCTACCAAGACCCGAATGTTTTGGATGTTTATTCTTTTGTAAAAGTGAGTGTTTTCCCTAAGTGTGACTATCATTACCAGAAAATAGTTTACATTACCTTTTATGTGAGAAGATCACTATATGAATGTAATGGGAAAAATAAAGATGTACAATAGTATTGTATATAGTAGCTACTGAAGTTCTAACTACCTTAAAACCAATTTGTTTAATTAAGTTAAAATGTGATGAGGTTATAACCATGCTTGATTGACTAGTATAAAACACAACATTCCAAAGACATTGAAATGGTATGACATTTGTCACCCATAGACCTGGAGGTCCCACTGTAGCTAGCAACAAAGTGTAGGATGGTCAATCCCATATACATCTATACACAAACTCACACTATCCCTCCAGGAGACTCTGGTTACAAAACGTGACACAACAGTATATTGTCATGCCATGAAGTAGTGTCTCACATTAATGTTATCTTGTTCTTGTATTAGTATGTATGTTCCTTCCTGTTCTGGTGTATAGTATGTTCCTTCTGTTCTTGTTATAGTATGTTCCTTCTTGTTCTAGTTATAGTATGTTCCTTCTTGTTCTAGTTATAGTATGTTTGAACTAACTCATGTATGAACGAACTCTTGTAAGAACTGACTCTAGTTAGTTTCATTGTTTTAGAAATAGTAAGTAGTAATCCACTAAACTATACTTGTTATATTTTACTAGTATGATTGTTTGTCTATTACTGATGTATAGAAAAGACTTAGTTACTCACCAAGCAACTAAGTTAAGTAAAATCCATAAAATGGGTTTAATATTCACATATCTATTCAATAAGTATAACTATGATTTAACCAACACTCGGACTAGTGATCCTAACAAGGAACAGGAGTCAAGGTATCTAGCAGTAGTCCTAAGTCTTTTAAAGCATACTTAGACGTAAATAGATAGATGAATATGATTTGATACAAAAGAAGTTTATAAAAGCTTTAAAAGAGTTTTCAACAAGTCTGAGTATAAGAAATCATTTGAAATGTTGTTTTCTCATGTAAATGGTTATCACAATTTCATTGTGTTATACTCGTCCCCCCCCTCTTCCCCCGCCCTTCTAAAATCATTTAAAAGTATTTAAAAGCATAGTTGTAGGGTATGAACTTACCTGTAGTGAGTGATTCGAATGAAAGAGCGATATAAGATGCTAAGTATGCCAAGTGAAGTCTTGAGCACAAATGGATCCTATAAGGCATATAATGACACATATATGTATACAATTAGTGTATATAACAACTAACATGCTAAGGTAAACAACCTTAGGAACTTGGAAACACTTGAAATGAAGTGTTACAATCACATATGATTGATTGAAGGGAGTTCACAACCACACTATGAAGTGTTCACGACCTTAGAGTGTTCACGGCCAAGAACACATGAGGTGTTCACAGCCCAACCTTGGTTTATGAAGTGTTCACGGCCATGGATGAAGGGTTCACAGCCATATCATGATCCTATGAAGGGTTCACGGTCGTGAACTCTTGAAGAATCATGCTAAAGAGGTGTTTGTTTCATGGGGATTCAAGAGCTTCTAATGGAAAACAAGTAAATGAATGAGCTACTTATGAATTGGAAGCTTTTAAGGTGTTCACGGCCCAAGAAAAAGTGTGTTCTTGGTGAAAAGATGGTGCTTTGAAGTTCTTGAAGGAAAAGTGATTAATGCAAGGATGTTATCAAAGGGCTTCACTTGTATATGAAGATCAACTAGTAAATAGGAGAGTAGTACTTACATTTTTGAAGAGAAAAGAAGGTTTCCTTTGATGATACTTGAGAGAGTTTGAGTTCTTGGTTGGAAGATGTGAGAAGCTTAAGAAAAAAGAGGGAAATCTATACATGTAGTGAGGGGTTCACGGCCAAACTTGGGTTCACGACTGTGAATCTAGTTTGTGGCCGTGGACATCCTTTTTGATGTTCTTGGCTTGAATTCATTCCATAGGTCCATTACTCACACTTCTTAGTATCAAATCCTAAGTGTACAATGCTTAAAAACTCATAGAATAACCCTTAGTAAGGCTAAAAGGTAACAGAAACAAGTCTAACTTTTGATTGATTTGCTTGACTTACAAGATAGAAAATTACGGGTTGTCATACATTCCTAATAGCAAAATTGAAACTCTCACTGACCCTATTCTCCACTGCATCACAATCGTTTCCCTCTTGAAAGAATGCCTTATAATAGGTAGTAGGATATCTGTTTATAATGTAATCATAGGCATGAGTATCAATAGATTTGATCTTATCCATTACACCTGTGAACTTCTCAACAGTACTAGCCCATACAGCCCTCCAAAACCATTTCTTGTATTGTTGACTAGTAAACCTTTTTTTTAAAATCGGCCACAATGTGTCTGACACATTATCTAAGTTCAGCTTCCGAACATCCTTCCTTAAGTGCTTGTAATAACCCCTACAAATCACAACATCATTATGAGTGAAAAAGCATAAAAGGACCTAGTACTAACCTTGTGTCCATCAGAAAGAAGGGTAATGCCTGCACCAAGACCACCATTAATGTCACCCATAAGAAAATCTATGAACCACTTCCATATTTCTTTGTTCTCAACACATACCACAACCCATGCTATAGGGTAGATGTGGTTGTTTGCATCTCTGCTAATAGCTGAAAGAGCTTCTCATCTAATTATACCCTTTAAAAAGAAACCATCAAGCCCAATTACATGCCTTCACCCTTCTCACCAACCATCCCTTATAGCTTCGAAACACACATAGAACTTGGAAAACAAGGTTGTGAAATCTTGCATAATGTCTACATCCAACCTCACAGTAGACCCAAGATTTGACCTAATAGTTTCCTTACCAGATGACCACAATCTCCCATAATATTCAATGAGACTTCCTTCAATCTCTTGTAATGCAAATTTCTTTGCATTTTTTCATTGCCCCAAACTCACATTTATGTTGAATGTTTTTGATACTTTAGCTTTCATCTTCCTTGCACTCATTTTTGGGTTCTCAATAATTTGACTCATAAAATGTTTTCATATCCGTCTGTAAGTTACTATTGACCCAAACTTAAACACTCTAAAACAATTATGTTCACTCACTAGAGATTTGATCTGAAAAGTCTTTTTTTTACCCATCCAAGTAAGTTACTATCAGAGTCATTTTTTTCAAACCAAAGATCATACCCATTAGCAATTGCATAGTTGATTAACATAGGTTTAAGCTCAGTAGGGTTAGAAAATCGTATACCTATCATTGGTTTCATATGATCCCATAGTTTTCTGTCATCTTGCATAGGGTATTGGGGTGGCACGTATTTATCATCTTGATCTTCACTATCTATAGGTTCACAAAGGATGTTTAAAAATCTATTATGTGCAGTTTTGTTTGTTGGAAATGGATAGGTAGAATCATCTTCTTCATGATCAACAATATATAAATCTTCAGTAACTGAATCCTCATCTTCATCTAGGTCTTCATCTTCATTTTCACTTTCCTCAAACTCAATCCAATTGAAGATAAGTTCATTATGGTGATCCACATATATATATATATATATATATATATATATATATATATATATATATATATATATATATATTCATTTTCTTGTCATTATCATACGCCAAATCCAAAAATTCGTTGTAATCACCCTCATTCACTAGTGTATGAATTCCCTGACCTAAAGACTCTTGTGGAAGGTAGAAGTAGATGTATTTGCCTGTCGTTCTGGTGAGCTTTTGAAGGAATTCCATGAAATGCTAGTAACCAAATGAATTAAAGTCAACATCTCGCATTGATGCTCTGTCGGGATCAAAGTAGACTAAGGGCTTGGCTATAAACGTTCCATTGTAGTGGAAATCAACTACAATGAAGTTTTGATCAGTGGGACTTGGTGATGATGCCATTATACTTAATGATTTGTAACGCTTGGTCCAGGTATTATTCATTTCTCAATAATTTAAGGATTTGGGTTGGAACTCGACGAGTTGGGGAGCTCCAACTCGTCATGTAGGAATCTTTTTAGCCGTGAAGTTTCAGGATCCAATTCAACGAGTTGACGGCCAAAGATGAACCCTAATTTTAGGATGTTGCACCCTATATAAAGGACTTAAACCCTTTTGGATGGCCTCCTTACCAGCCTCCCTATCCAGAAAACCCTAGATTCTTGTTTCATCTTGCAAGCTTGTGTATGGTTTTTGGTGATTATTGAAAGGAAGTTGGAAGAGGGAAGCATCTAGCTTGGAGGAAGGACCTTAGATCCAGAAACTCTTCTTCAAAGGCAACATTTTTGAGGTATATAAGTCATCACCTTGTCTTGTATTCATCTAGATCTCCTTATTTGAAGTTTAATCATGATTTTAGGGTTTTGGTCGAGTTGTCCAAGAAGAAGTGGAATCCAGGGGTTGCTAAGCTAAATCTGACCCCTTCATGACATCTCTTGGATTAAAGTTACAAACTATATTGGTCCCTATGTCCCATTTATGAAATAAGACTCTTATCAAGTCATTAATGAGACTTAGAGTGTGTTCTAGCATGCATGGACGTAAAGTTGGAGACTTTACGTGTTTTGCCAACCGTGGGACATTAGATCTGTGTTTTGGGACGTTGATATGGGAGTGTTAGGGCTTAATGGGTCAAGATCCCCTTTAAAAAACCTAGGGTTTGAGTTTGACACCTTTGGATGGTTCTTGAGGGTGAAGCTGGAAACTTTACCCTTTTTGATATCATTTTGGAAGAGATCTGAGGCTTGGGGCCCTTGGACCCATTGGAAACAATTTAATGCATTAAGAGGTTGGATTCCTGGCCAACTTGGCGAGTTCATTGGTGAAATCGACGAGTTGATGGGATTTTTCACGATATGGTCAGACAATAGGGAAACTCAATGAGTTAAAGAGACAACTTGACGAGGTGGGTCAACTTAGGATGTTGAGTTTGACCTTTGACCTTGGTTTTTGACAAAGTTTGACCTTTATGGGTTTTGGGGCATGTTAAGTTGCAATTAAGAATTTTTTTTTTATGTTTTTAGGGTTATGTAGAGTGGATATTGGAATCTCGACCTAGTTAGCTTCCGTGCAAGTATTGACATAAGTCTTCTCACCACACTCATGGGTCGAAGGCACCAAGGCCAACCTGTTAATTTATATAATATGTTTGTATTGAATAGGAAATGGTATGTTATTTGATTTATGTATGGGTTTATGTGAAGACCATGGGGGAGCCCATGACACTTGTCAAGACCATGGGGGGAGCCCATGGCATGAGGATATAAGACCATGGGGTTAGCCCATGTTATTCCATTGAAGACCATGGAGGGCTTCCATAGTAATTTGTATGTAAATGTATGAGCATAACATTATATGATTATATGATTTGTGTGATTGGGAAACTCACTAAGCTTGTGCTTATAGTTTATTTGTATGTTTCATGTACTTCTATTGATAAAGGCAAGGGCCCGTCTTGATGACGAGGCATGTATTCTCCTATGTTATCACATTTAGCTCTTTGTACTTTGAATTTTCAAAATAACATGGATATGTGTTGGGATTTTTATATTTACTATGGTTGATGTTATGAAAATAAAAGTTAATTTTTTTATGAAAATTGGGTTGTTACAAGTTGGTATCAGAGCCTTGGTTTGAGAGATTTGGACACACTTCTGGGTGTGTCAGAACTCAAATTGAAGGAATGTAACAATTGCTTTTCAAAAAGAAGCCAAAGTTTAATTTCTAGTAAACAATTTTGTAAGAAAAAGGGGAGAATGAAATACACGTAATCGGATGAGCTCAAGTAAGTATTCCTAATGTTTTAGTCATGCTATGATGGATATATGGAAATATGCTTATATGGATTATTTTCTAAGTGTATGCTTTCAAAGTTCTACATGTTTAGGATTGCATAGTCCTAGAATGAGGGAGCCTGCCTTATTCATGTTCCTTGTTTGGTTGTGGTTTAGGGTAGAAGATTTATTTGACACTATATGTGATTCTCTTTGTGTATAACTTGCATGCATAGGGCAACCTGTTATGATTAATTTGGATTCTTGGTTTGGTGAGGGTTAAGAATCCTAGGGCAGTCTGGGATCAGATTTAGTGATGTGTTTATGAGTTATGATTTATGATTAGGTGATTTAGGGATATCAGGTATGGCCTTAGGAAAGGTATAGGTAGGTGTGGAAAGTAGTATTGGGCCCATACTACTAAAAGCATGGGACATGTACCCGAAGCAATGAAAAACCTGGTAGTTTTTAAGAGTCTGATGAGGAGGAATCCCTTTCGAATTCCTTATCTTGGTTATTTGTGATATTTGTAGTTGAGGATGGTGATGATCACACGAGGTTCAGGATCATGTTTAGGCTCCGATGCAGAGCCCATGGATGAGAGGTTGCGTGACCTTATTGCAACCGAGGTTACTCGTGGTATCCTTAACGCTACTCTGGTGGTTTTCGGTACCGTCAAGGAGGGCATCATGGAGATCATGGATGAGAGGCTAAGGTCCTTTCGAGTCGAGATTGTTGTAGGCCATATTGGGGCCCGAGCTCCCTTGTTCAAGGAGTTCAAAGTGTGTGCAACGCTTGAGTCCTTCAGGGTCCAGGATACCATTACTAGCCAATGCTGGGTGGCAGACATGGACAATGCCCAACGTACGAGTTCTTGCCCTGATGCGGCCAAGGTGGGGTTCACATCTTGTATGATGAGGGATCGGGCACGAGACTGGCGGGAGGAGGTGACCCGTGAGGTGGGATCAGCCAGGGTGGTTGAGATGACTTTGGATGAGTTTGTGAGGAGGTTTGATTGGGAGTTTGCACCACCCATTGAGGTGCAACATTTGGTGAGAGAGTTCCAGGATTTATAGCAGACTATGTAAGAATGCATTCGAGATCCAAAGTTTCTTGGGTCTTGTAGGGTACTATCAGAGATTTATTGAGGATTTCTCCAAGATCGCCGTACCCTTGACCCGATTAACCAAGAAAAGCGTGCCCTTTCGGTGGGGTCCAGATTAGCAGTCAGCATTCGAGACCTTGAGGCAGAGATTATGTGAGGCCCCAATTTTAGCACCACCCGATGGATTGGATGACTTTGTAGTGTATTGTGACACTTCTATTTTGGGATTAGGAGCGGTTATGATGCAGAGGGGCATGTTATTGCTTATGATTCGAGGCATTTGAAGCCTCATGAGGCGAATTACCCCACTCATGACCTAGAATTGGGGGCGGTGGTGTTTTTCCTCAAGATTTGGAGACATTGCTTGTATGGGGTCCGATACACCATTTTCATTGATCATAAGAGTCTGAAGTATTTGATGGATCAACAGATTCAACATGCGACAAAGGAGATAGCTCAATGTAGTAAAATATTTATGATTGCGAGATTTTGTACCATCCTGGTAAGGCCAATGTGGTGACTGATGCCTTGAGTCGTAAGGCGGCGAGTGCTCCGATCCAAGATGTTTGCCTGCGGATGACGATGATTTCACCTCTTTTGGATATGATTAAGGAGGATCAGGTTGAAGGACTAAAAAAGGAGAACCGGAAGGTGGAGTAGATTCTGGGACAAATTCCACTTTTTGTTCGAGAGGGCCGGGGTCTATTGACTTAATGTGGCAGAGTTTGGGTACCCGCTTTTGAGGGCGTGAGGCAAAAGATATTGGAGTAGGTGCATAAATCCAAGTTTTATATCCATCCGAGGGCCACGAAAATGTATCGAGACTTGAGATTGAGTTATTGGTGGCTCTGCATGAAGCGGAAGATTGCATGGTTTGTTGAGCGGTGTTTGACCTGCATGAAGGTCAAAGCCAAGCATCAGAGGCCCCACGGGAAGATGACGCCGCTACATATTCCCATGTGGAAATGGGAAGAGATTTCTATGGATTTTATCACGAAGTTACCTAGGACGGCACGGGGTGTGGACTCCATCTAGACCAAGAGTGCTCATTTTATTCCGATCTCTGAGAGTATCTCTGCTGAGAAGTTAGCAGATATTTATGTGCGGGAAGTGGTGGTTAGACACGGGGTGCCAATGTCTATAGTTTTGGACCGTGATGTTCGTTTCACCTCCAGGTTTTGGAGGAAGTTCCATGAGGAGTTGGGAACTCAGTTTCATTTTAGCACTGCTTTTCACCCCCGGACTGATGGTCAGAGTGAGCGGACGATTCAGACGCTCGCTGATATGCTTCACACATATGTGTTGGATTTCGGAGGGAGTTGGGATACTTACCTTCCACTAGCAGAGTTCTCATACAACACTAGTTATCATGCTAGTATTGACCTACCCCTGTTTGAGTCGATTTATGTCAGAGATGTAGGAATCCAGTTTGTTAGGGGGGAGGTCGGACATCGAGTTGTGGGGAGTACCGAAGTGGTACTTAAGATGACCGAGTTAATTCAACAGGTTTGCGACCGACTTTAGACATCGCAGAGCAGGCAAAAGAACTATGCGGATAGGCACAGATCGGACCTAGAATTTCAGTTTGGGGATATTGTCATCCTGGAAGGGTGTTATCCGGTTTAGGAGGCGGGGCAAATTGGCCCCCAGGTATATTGGCTCGTTTCGGATTATCGCCCGGGTGGGAAAGGTTGCATATTAGTTGGACTTGCCTGAGGAGCTTGGGAAAATCCATAGTACATTTCACGTTTCACAGTTTCAGAAGTGTGTGACTGATGAGTCGATGGTTGTATCGCTTGACGATATTCAAATTGACAAGAGTTTGAATTATGTGCAAAAGAGCATTACGATTCTGGACAGAGAAACAAAAGCCCTACGGAACAAGGAAGTGAAGTTAGTAAAGGTGCAATGGCAAAACCAAAGAGGCTCCGAATGGATCTGGGAGCCGGAGGATGAGATGAAGAAGCATTATTTGGACCTTTTTGCATCAGCAGACTTCGAGGACGAAGTCTAGTTCAAGTGGG